GCGGGTGCTGCGAGAGGGGCGTGGAGAGCGCCGCGGCCCGGCCGCCGCCGGCGTCTTGCGGGAGCGGGAGCGGGAGCCGCGGGCCGCGGGGTTTCAGCCATGTTCGTGTTTCCTGCCTGCCGCAGACGGCAAAATCGGGATCCGCCGCGGTTCAGCGCCAGGTCGAAAGACTGCGCAGTGATTCAGCGTCAGAAAAAGGCAGATTCTTGACGCGTGCTGTGCGGACGCTTTCGGTTTGAGTGTGGGCTAGTCACGCAGTGTTTTCAGACAGCGTTCTTTTAAAAACGGACGGGCTGACCTGTGTAGCCGGGCGTGCGTGAGGATTTGACAGTACGGCGTGCAGAGCCGCTGAAAGCCTTTCTGTTGCGCGAGCTCAAAGCTACGCTGATCTTCCTTGTGAATATAGATTGCTACGCACTGTGGTGAAACGGTCGTTTTGTTTTGTTTTGGAAAGTAATTAAATGCTGTTGCTGATCTAAAGGTAGTTTATATTGTGAAAACTTCTGTTTGGATTAGGGTGATTTATTTCTGATAATTAAAGTCCTGCGCCACTGGAGTATGAGCAACAGTGTTACTTTTTCTTTGATGTTTTTGCCCACAGCGAAGCTTTGACGTCCGAGCCAAGGGCAATAGTAAAGATCTCAGGTTTGGGGAGGGTTGACTCAGAGAAAGGGGTTTTGGAGATGGAGTTTATACTCCTCTACCGTGGAGTTGTAGATGGCCTGTGTTTGGAAGTGCATATTTTTAATGGCTAGATATAAAATGAAAGTTATAAGTGCCTGGAAATGTGTCCGAATGCAGCGTGGGTGGTGTCAGTCCCGCTTGCAGTGTGTGAATTACGCATTTGCTTTGTGTAAGTTCTCTGAGGGAGTGAACATATGTTTAAAAACGTTTGAAAATACGTAAAGATGTGTAACTATGTTAATTCTTCTGTAAGGTTGTTGTTTTGACAGAAGTGCTTGTTATTGACAGAAAAAAAAAAAAGGAAGAAGATTGCTCTTCAGTATCATAATGGTAATTTAACGGTGGAGGTCCTTCCCTCTTGGGAAATAGTCATATCCTTCTCAAGTTTGGATTCATTGAATTGAGATTTTAACTACTGAAGAAATGGTGGTAGTAAAATAGCAAGTCTATATATGTGTCTTAATTATAGGTGTGAATTACACATATACAAGTTCTAATTTGAAATACAATGCTCATTTCTCGGTAAAGTCTTTGCATCTGTTGCTTCAGGTGTAGACCTCTTTTTAACGTTGCCCTGGGCTGGTTCTACATAGTTCAGTAATTCTGCAGTTATTCATAGGGCATTGGTTGAATAGTCTGAATCAGAACCAGAAGTTAGCTCTACAGACTTTTAAACAAGGACTGTCTTTCATCAAAATAAAACTAACATATATGGTCTTCAGAAGAACTGACTGCCCCAATTCCATTAGACAGTTAAACTCATATTCATCTAGCGTTTTGAAAAGCCCTTGGAACTGCTTTATTTTTACTTTGGCTGTCATTTAAACAGAAAGTATTCAGATTTAATAAAAAAGGTGTATGTAAAAGACCACCAGGCAGGATATTTAATAAGTGGGGTCTGAAGCATGGTTATTAATTTTTCTGGCTCCATAACAATTATTTTTCCATAACAAATTTAAAAGATGGGCAAATCCTGATAGAGGAAGGATCATTGACAGTAAATTTGAAAGTTAGGTGGGAGGAGCAAGTGAGTTGTACAAGCGTCCTAGTGGGCTAGGCTGGTTAAGATGGGAGCTGATGTCTTTTGCATCTAAAGCCTCTCTGTGTAGAGCTATAGCTGGCTTGTGGGATATGGTGTGAGGCATTACGTAAAAGATAAGTTTGCTTTTATTATGTGTTTTTGAGACATGATCTTGCTGTGTAGTTCATGCTGGCCTCCAACTCAAGGCCCTTCAGTCTCAGCCTCCTGAATACTGAGGGTACAGGCATGTGCCACCGTGCCCAGCAAGTTTGCTTTTTATAAAAAGTGCAAAATATTTTAGAATTTAATTGTTTATTTTTTGCAGTACTGGGGATTGAACTCAGGACTCTGCACTTGTCTGGAAGGTGCTTATTCTACTGAGCTATCACCTTGGCCTTCATTTTAGAATTTTAAAACCAGAAAATACCCACAGAGGTGATTGTCAAGTTGAAAAATGTAGATGGTAAAAATGGCCCTGCACTGAAAGTATCCAACATTTAGAATTACGTTTAGAACATACCAGATAGTACATACCTCCAGTTATTCCGATAACCAATAAAATTTGCATAGATCTTTCATTTTTGTAGTGTTTTGCTTTGGACTCAATGGTGTATTTTTTTCCTTTCAAAGACCCTGGAATACTTGTTAAATTTAAGACCATTTCACTGAGTTTTCCCCTTAACAGTATAGTTATAGAGTTTGATGAAATTAAAGCTTTTTTAGCATTAATTTGAGGTATGTAGATATCAGTGATTTTGTAGGGCTAGGTACTTGAAGATTCTTCAGCTTTGCTTCCTTTATGGTCTTCACGATTTTAGGTTAAAATGTTTTCATCATCTGGCCAAGTGTCTGTTGCCGCTGCTGGAGTCGCTGACTGATTCCAGGTTTTGTGTCCTCTTTTGTACCTCCTTTTCACTGGCCTGAGTCTTTCCTTACCCTCGAGCTCCATGAATTACTTCTCAATACAATTTTCCGCCTGGGCAGATCTGTCAGATAAGCTTAGCTGCCCCATTTGTTCCCCTGGCTGTCCCTCTGTCGCTGTCCTTCCTTTGGGGCCTGGCCTGCTTCCTCTAGTGCCGCTCCCCAACTGTTGCCTTGGGACTTTCCCTACTCACAGTTTGGAAATTTCACCTCTGCTGAGTCCCTTCCTCTGCTGTGGCTTCCTTTGGCTTCTGGCCTCCTGTGCATACATTTCTCTGCTGGTGTGCCCCTGTGAAGCGTGCTGAGACAGTCCCCATTCTGATACTGCTTTTACCTCAACTTTGACTTCCTGGCTGCTGAGAGATCTCTGTGTTGGAAAGTGCTTTCCCTCAAAAGTTGGAATGTGGTTCTCAGTGTTGTTGTGGAGAAATCTGAACTTGAACAAATTGCTCTGTGGTCTGTCTGGGAAATTTCAATTTTTTTCCCTGGATTTGACAATTTCAGCTTTTTTTGTTTTTCCTTTTGAGACAGGGTCTCACTGTACAGTTCAGGTGGCCTTGAATTCCAGTGATCATCCTACCTCAGCATGTACCACCACACCTGGCTAGTTTAATTTTTTTTGAAAGGAGCTGTGTTTTTCTGTATTACAGCACATTGTCCCTTTTTCATGGGTTCAGCAAGTTAATTACAATTTCTTTGAAATGTTCTGTTTCCTGCTTTGTTTTTGGATCTGCTAACGTTATTTGTTTGTTTTGGTCTCATTTTTTTGGTTGGAGGCGTCACTGTATCTCTGCTACTAGCAGTTTTTCTGTAGTTAGGAGAAAACTATCGAAACTGATGAAACCTTGTGGGCATGCCTGTGCAGGGAGTCCTAAGGGACTCCCCCCCCCCTTTTTTTTTTCTTTTCTCTGGGTGAGAAGGAAGCTTTCAATTTCTTCTGATGAAAGGTCATGTCCACCTCTCTGTGGGAGAGTCATGGAGGAAGGATGGTGTCAGTCAGTCTTCCTGCTGTAACAAGTCCCTTGGGCAGCAGAACTTTCTCTCCTTCCGGTCCTGGAGTCTCGGGCCAGCATCCTGCCTGGCCTGGCTGGCAGAGCCTTTCCTAGGCGCTGCTTGTGGGCTTGTAGGGCTTGGACCCCTGGGATCACGTGTCCTCCCACCTGTGGAAAGCTCTGCCTCTAGGACATCAGGGCAGTCTTGCTGTAACCTGGAGCAGCTTGGAAAAGGAAAGGGTCGGAAACCTGGGGATGCATGCGCCTCCTCTAAGGCAGAAGAGCTTCGTGCCCATGAGACACCTGCGAGCTGGTGGAAGGCCAGCCTGCAGAGCAGTGGGGGAAGTGGAAAAATGGAACCCCAAGAATTGCAGCTGGAGGATATGGCCTTCTCCCACCCAGCATTAAAACTCCTGCATACCCCCTTGCTGAGGTCAGAACAGATTCCCAGAAGTCACATGGAAGCCTTGAGGATTGCCATTTTCCTCTCCTTTCTTCTGCCATTTTATCCTCTATGAATTTCCCTTCCCTACCAGCTGTCCACGTTAAGCGTTGCATTTCAGTGTGGGTCTTCAGGACGCAGGTGCTCTCTTGTGGGCCTTCGCTGGCCTCCTGCTAAGGACTACGAAGCACCAGCCACATGTGGGCTGCCCTACCAGGCGAGGTAAACTCTCAGGAACTCCACTGTAAATTGCAGTGAAGTGCACGCAGCAGAATGCACAGGCTTTCCGAAGAAACTGACCTCACAGGGTATTTTCATATAACCAGGACGCTGAGGGGCAGCTCCAAGGAGCTGGGGCGTTGTCTGCAGATGGAGGCTAGAAGAGCTGTGTCCCCTGTCCAAGAGGCCTAAAGCCCGGCACCCAGGTCTGGAGGTGGAGAGCAGGCTGGCCGGCCACTCCCTTGCTGTGCTTCTTGCCTTCCAAGTGCTGCTCATGGTGATGCTATGCCTGCTGGTGTGGGCAGCTGCTCGGTCAGACTGGTCCATGCTGGTCCTTCCCTAGATGGCCTCAGCCCGCTCAGGGTGACAGGTGGAATCAGTCCTCACACATAACCCTGCCACGTGAGCTGCCTGGACAAGTTTAGGGTGGTGTTGCCTCAGGATTTCCTTTCTGCGGGTGGTGGGATAGTGGAAGTGGAGCCTGGGGCCCCTGCACTCTGCTTGCAGAACCTACAGGGTTGCACTGGTGTGCGCATAGCGCATGTGCAGTCCTGGCAGGGCCCACCAATTGCAGTCCCTTTGGCTGTGGTGAGAATGCTGCCTTGAGCATGGGTGCTTTCTTGTGGGGCTGTGCCCAGGCGCGTGGTCCAGTGTTCATTGCTGAGGAGCTGCCTTACAGTTTCTTTAGCTCTTTTCCATCATGGCCACACCACTCCATATTCCTCCCGGTGGTGCCCACTGGGGTAGCTACTGCTGGAAATTAATTAACCCGAGTAAGCAAGACAACAAACCCATCAGCCAGCCCATCCCTGTTGAGGCAGATGCTTCGGAGGTCAGTGTACTCTGCCACATCACCGAGTGTGCATCACAGGCCCTGTTGATATCACAGTACTTTAGATTTAAACTCTTGAGCTTTGGGGTAGCTTTCTCAGAGGTGCATGGCTGAAGTATAAAGAATTTGGGTCAACTCCATCTCTGCCATGTTCCCAGGTGAACTACAGTGGTGCAGCCAGCTTACCTCTTTCCCTTTAGGCTCTAATAACCTGAAAAGGAAAGTAAAGATGAGCTTGGAGACTATTTCCAAGGTACTTTTTTGGGTAACCTTTTATTATGAAATTCTAAGGCATATAGAAAAGTTAAAAGGACACAGTGATCCTGTATAGATAGCTTTCCTACACTCACAAATATATTTGTGCACTGCATGATTTGAAAGTAAACTGTAGACTTCAAAACATTTGATTCTTTTTTATTTATTTATTTATTTTTATTTATTACATTTATTTATTGTGTGTGTGTGTGGCCAGCTCAGCCCACCAGGGGGCGGGTCTGGCTGGCATGTGGTGCTGGGGATCGAACCGCGGTCCCTGTGCTTTGCCACGCTTGTTTCAAGTAGGTGCTTTAGACCACTGAGCCATCTCTCCAGCCCCAAAACATTTGATTCTTAGGTACTTCAATCTTCATTTCTCAAACATGGTTTCTTATATAACTGGACTAACATTAAAACACTTAGAAATTAGTCATATAGCCTGTGATATATACATATTCTTCTCATTCTTCATTTCTTTCCCCAAACACACTAGTTGTTTATTTCAACTTTTTTTTTTTTTCGTGACAATGCTTTTTGTCTTGATATGGTGCATGGAATCTAGGGAACACTGAGCTACACTCCCAGAGTCTTTTTTTTTTTTTTTGGTGGGAGAGGGGAAGGACAGGATCTTGCTGAGTGGCCCAGGATAGCTTTGTTTTTTTGTTTGTGTTTTTCCAGGCTAGCTTTGAATTTGCAATCCTGTTCAGCCTCTCAAATAGTTGACATTAGAGGCTTCACCACACTTGGCCTTGACACTGACGTTGAAGAGACTAGTCTAAGATGGGCATAATGGTGCACACCTGTAATCTCAGCACCCTTCCAGCACTGGGGAGGCTGAGGTAGGAGGATTTTTGAGAGTTCCAGACCAGGCTGGGCTACAAAGTGAGCTCAAAGCTAGACTGAACTGCATAGTGAGACTGTCTCAAAAAAGACAAAAAACAAAACAAAAAAAAACCCTACCCAAAACAAAACAAAAACCTACGTTAACATACCTGATTATCATGTAGGTTTTCCTATATTTATAATTTTAAAATAATAGTTGCATTGTAAAATTGATCTTTATTTTTTATTTCTTGTGAGCTGGGAATTAAATGTAAGGACTTGATTACATTCAGATTGAACAGTTTTGGTAAGAATGGTTCTTAAGTACCTGATTTTGTATTTCATATTGTATCTCATTGGGAGGCATATAATATCCAGGTTCTCCCATTATTAATGATGCTAAATTCGATCGCTTGGCTAAAGTGACTACTAGGTCTCTTGTTGTAAGGCTCATTTTCCTATTTGCATTTGGCTAGTAATCTGTGGGTTGATGTTTCTTGAGTATCCACTTTCCCAATTGGCCTTTGGATCAATTGATGATCCTAGACTGAGTCACCTATTTTATTGGATTCAAAGAATGATTTAAAATAATTTTTAAATCTAGAAAGACTTTTTTTTTTTTTTTTTTGGTGGAACCAGGGATTGAACTCAGGCCCTTGCGCTTGCCAGGCAAGCGCTTATTCCACTGAGCCATGTCCCCAGCCCCTTCTAGAAAGACTTAATCTGGGATAGTGGGAAATTCAGAATCAATTGCTACTCTTGGATTGTGAATAAAATTTGAGAGTTCTTCTACTGTGTTTTCTTCTGTAAGTTATCTAATGTGTTTGAATTTTAGCTTATCTATAAAATGAGCTAATGATAGCATTTATTGGGCTATTGTAGGGACTAAATGAATTAATAATTGTGAAGCCATGTCAATTACATTATATAGCATGTGATAAATTCTCAAAGAATCTTAATAATTATTATTGTACTTATGAAACTATAGTTTCACCACATGTACAAGCCCACTGATAAAATCAAGTTATGCCAATAAAGCTGCCCTTAAATTAAAAAAAAAAAAGGGGGGCTGGGGAGATGGCTCAGTGGAATAAGCGCTTGCCTGGCAAACATAAGGGCCTGAGTTCAATCCCTGGTTCCACCAAAAAAAAAAAAAAAATGACAGCCTATAGTTTATGCACACCTAGAATCACAGCATTCTGGGAGGCTGAGGCAGGAGAATTGTAAGTTCAGGCCCAGCCTGGACACACAATAAAAAGGATGGGATGTAGCTTAGTGCAAATACTCAAGGGTGAGGGGATGGACCATCTCTTTTGATTTAGGGTACAAAGGTAGATAGTTAAGGGTATCTGAGGTTATGGGTACATAGAATCTTGTTTTGGGCGTGTAGAGACTTGATGGACTCAAGGCCTTTCCACTGAACCACATCCTCATTCATTCATTCATTTGTGCCACAAGGACTGGCTGGCCAGAGCCTTAATGATAAAACAGTTCATTTGCATTCTATCTTATTTTATTTTATTTTATTTTGTTTTATTGAGAAATATCAGTGAGACAGTTTCAAAGCTGATTAATAGGACAGTTTCAATAATTAATACATTGTACATTGTTATCTTCTTAGTGGTTATCCATAGTACAAGATGCAGACAGAATGTCCTGTCCAAACATTATTAGTACAAATCTTTCTTCTGATTGAGTTAAGTGAAAGTAGCTGTATGTTTGTCCTAATTATTCTGCATATACAGATACAAAATGGTCCTTCCTTTGTATCGCCTTTTTTTTTTGTTTAGTTCTATCAGAAATGGGTATTCCACTGGCATCTAAATACTAAGGTGCGTGAATTCAGCAAAACAATCCAACACAGTCCAGCAGTCCGCAATAGCAGTGGGTTATCCATAGAAGTTGTTGACTTGAGCCTTTCACAGCTCAGCATATTAATATGGCTTTATTTTATATACCTTGCTTTTATACTTTTCTGCTGGTTCATTTGCATTCCTAATTCCTGCTAGTTGAGGCTTGGAAAGTTGCTTGAAGAGTGCTTGTATTTAAAGGTTGATTGTATTAGGGCCGGGGAGATAGCTCAGTGACGTAAGTGCCTTCCCGGTAAACACAAGATCCTGAGTTCGGTCCCTGGTACCAGAAAAAAAGAAAAGGTCAATTGTATGGTCCAGTAATAATTGGTAATATATTATAGTATTGGTAATGTGTGCTAAAATGAAAAGTCCCTACCAATTTTTTTTTTTTCTTTTTGCGGAACTGGGGATTGAACTCAGGCCCTTGCGCTTGCCAGGGAAGCGCTTATGAGCCATCTCCCCAGTCCCCCTACCAAATTTGAAATAGCAAATATATATGAATATAGTGGATTAATTATTATATATAACTCAAAATTATGATCTCTATTCTATTCTATAATGAACTCTGTGGGCTAATATAAATCCATGTAGATTTCTATTAAGCTAGGTAATATCAGGGCAGGTATTGTTTTAGTATCTGTTTTATGCTCCTTACCCTATGCTCTGTAATTACTTTGAAGAAAAAAAATGTAATTTTTCATAAAGTTAATTTTTGGCAAGGTTAGTACCACATGCCTACAATCCCAGAATTCTAGGGGTGGAGGTAGGAAGACTGCAAGTTTGAAACCAGTTTGGGTAACTCTTAGAGATTCTGTCTCAAAATTAAAAAAAAAAAAAAAAGGAAAAAAAACCCAAACCAAACAACTGGGTATTAGCTCAGTGCAGAGGGCTTGGGTTTTATTTCCTGTCCTCGAAAAACAAACAGTTTTTGCATTGTAAACTTGCTTTTTTTTTTTTTTTGCCGAACCAGGAATTGAACTCAGGCCTTTGTGCTTGCCAGGGAAGCGCTTATTCTTCTGAGCCATCTCCCTGGCCCCCAAAAGCAACTCATACACTAACATTTTCTGTCTTTTTTTTTAGGAACTGAGGATTGAACTCAGGCTCTTGTACTTGCCAGGCAAGCACTTATTCTACCGAGCTATCTCTCTAGCCTTGCATTGTAATTTTAAGTACTTTTGTAGTCTTTTTAAAAACTAGAGTGTACTTTTTCTTTATATATCTATATCTACATATCTGTATCTGTATCTATATATTATGTGTGCGTGCGGGGTGTCAGGGGTGAACCCAGGGCCTCCTGCATACGAGGCACGTTCTGTATCATTGAGCTGCACCTCCAGCAGCCCAACTCCCAAAGCGTATTGCATTGATTAACATCTATTATACTTTACGGTGTCACTGTGATATTGCAGTGGGTGAATGCAGTGTGTGCGGTCAGATCATGATACTGTCCTCTCTTTATTATTTATTTATGTGTGAACCTCTAAGTTCCTCCTCTAGATCTTCATATAACATACAATAAGTTGTTCTTTTCCATGCAGGTCTTATGCATTAGTGGCTTATTGTAACCTGCTGGCGCAGCACTGCTACTGCATGCCAGAATCTTCCTTCTGTGTAACTGGGTTTTAGTACCTGTTATCCAGCTTCCCTGCGTCTCCTCCCCTTCCCAGCTTCTGGTTATCAGGATTCAATATTTAGGTCAACTTTTGTATTAGTTGCCATGTTAGAGAACTCAAGTGGTTGTCTTTCTGTGTCTGGCGTGTTTTAGTGATGGTCGTGGTAATTGGGCTGAGATTCTGTCACAGGGTGGGTGTTTGTCCTTTCAGTATGGGGGCACAACCTGGAAGCACTCAACTGTTTCAGAAATTTCCCTTGCCTTCTTTTCCCTTCCCCTTCCCCTTCCCCTCTCCTCTCCTCTCTTCTCTCTCTGAGGCAGATTTTCACTGTGTAGCCCTGCCTGGTCTTGAACTCACTACATAGCCCGGGCTGGCCTGGAACTCAAGGTAGTCCTCCTACCTCATCCTCCTGTGTGCTGGGATTACAGACCTGCACCACTATATCAGGCAGTATTTCTTCTTTTGAGAAGTTTGCATTCAGGTCATTTGCCCATTTAAAAATTGGATTGTAGCTATTTTGTGGACTAGCGCAACTTTTATTGGTTTGTTACATGAAGGAATATTCTGGAATCCTGGGTTTTTTGAGAAATCATTGATACATTTTTGTAATTTAAAGATCATACATATTAACCGTGATTAATTTTTCTTATGTGAGAAAGCAATGTTATTGGAATTAGTAAATTCTCTCAAACGTTTTTGTGACGGGTTGCTGCTGTTGAGTACTTGGTTGTGAGAGAAGCAGTAAAAATAATAGTGAACCTTTAGAGTTAGATATTAGCTTTAAAAATGCAAACAGAAGTAAGTAGCAAATCTGATTTCCGAGCTTTGGTGGTCTAACTTCAGATCCCAGTTTAAATGATCTACTGTGCAGACTGAATGAATTTTGATTTTCAGCTGCCTTCACCCAGAACTGCATCTGATATTGTAAGGCTGTCTGTCTGTAAGTGAGTGGCTCTGGGGGAGACTGGGTTAGGTGCACTGGGATAGGCGAGACAGGTGGGGAGCCTGTTTGGAGGTGGTATAGGAGTAGGTTAGAGAGGGGAGGGGTACAACTGTGCCCTGAGAGTGGAACCTTGGCTGAGACTGCTTTTGTGCCAGGAGGCTCTGCCACCCTCTTCTCCTTTGCCAGGTGAATGGGTTTCTGCTCAGTTAACAAGTGTGCACTTGGTGTGCATGTAAGGCAGGGACTCTTTTACAGTCTCCTTACAATGGCATGATAATCTCAGGTCCTTTCTCAGTCCCTAGGTAACCATGGCTAACAGTTCACGACAATTCAACAGTATGTGGTCTTTGAAAGCTCTCCAAGAAGCCAGAGATTAAAGTAGGAGCCTGTAATCTGGCCCAACAGTTTCACACCCCACCTCCTTTCTATCTCTGCTGCTGCTGATTTCAGTGTTTGGCTCAGTTTGGGGCCCTTTGTCTTCTCTCCCTTTGCTAATTGCCTTGTTTGTGTCTAGTGTCCATTGCTGGCACTTCTGAAGTCATAGTTTAGTCTAGAGTAACTGTCTCCTCTACACAACCCCTATCAGGTGGTCTATAGAGCCAGAAAGTCAACACATTCAAAACTGAGTCTTCTGTCCCAGATTTGTCTTGTGCGTGTTCGCATCTCAGTGCCGTCATAGATGGGGGTCAGGCTTGACCCCAGCTTCCACCCTTCTCCTCGTCTAACCTGTAGGCGAATCTTGTCACTTCCAGCTACTGTCTTCATGTCTTTCTTATTTCCACCAGGTCTTCAGTCTTTGTGCAGATTACTGTCATGAGTTACCTGCTTTATGGTTCCTCTTCCGGGAACCAGTGCCTTCTGTTGCCATCCTTAGCTGAAAGAACTACATGGGCTGTCATTTGCATTACACAGCATAATTAATGTTTAGATGTCATTGTATAGTACAGATCTGCAGGTCTAGAAAGCTCCCAATTGTACGTGAAAGTCACAATTGATAAAATGGCCTTCATTTAAGATTCAGTGATAGTTACTTAATTCTGTAATCTAGGCATGTCACATAGAAGGTCTTACTACTTCATCTTAATTTTATAGTGCATTGAATGTGAAGAACTAATTTTAAAACTGTTTAGAACACAGTTTTCTTGACATGTGAGTAAAACTGGCCTGTAAGTTTTCATTTAGCAAAGGAGGCCAAACCACTGTGTCACATTATGTCTGGCTTGGTTTTCAAATATCTCTGTGTGTGTTTTTCAAATTTCCCTGTTGTGTGCTTTTGTTCTCCTGACTACCCAATCACGCTATGCCTGTTGCTGGGTGTTTTCCTTCTCTTTGTATCTAATAGTCACTGTGCTTATGCCTATAATTAGGTATTGAGCATCATGGTGGAAATAATGTATGCGCTGGCTTTAATCCTTATAAAAAATGTATCCAGGCCTGGGGACACAGACCTGTCATCCAGCACTCTGGGAGGCTGAAGCAGGCTGATTGCAGGTTTGAGCCCACTCTGGGCAATTTAGGGGGAAAAAAAAAGGCTAGGATATAAGTGTGAAGGCTCTAGTTTCAGTCCCCAGTGTCCTCTTAGTTCCCCCAAATGTGGAAGACATGAATACCAAGGCTCCGTGTGGCTAGGTAACTCGCCGTGCATCTGCTGTCATTGACTGTGCCAGAATTTGACTGAATGTCTGATTTCAGAGCCTGAGCGCTGAAGTACTAGCGCCCAGTTTCTTAATGCCAATGCCTGAAGCTGCTCTCTTTTTGAAATTTTATTTCCTTGTTTTGGGGTTGTTTATTTTGTTGTGGAATACTTCAGCCAGAGCAACCTGCCTGTTCTTGAATAGTAAGAGGTGAGTATTGTACAATTTGAATTCATTTCCTCATAATACCTCCAGGCAGAAATTTTGGCATCACTGTACAAAAGGCAGATGTTGTTACTGTTATGAGTCATTGTACTAAATTTTTCCCTTTATAAAGAAATAGAATCATCTGAACATGGTGAAGAACACCAATAATCGCAGCACTCTGAGAGGCTAAGGTAGGAGGATCATGTGTCTGAGGCAATCTGGGCATTTTAGCAATTTAGCAAGAGCCTGCTCCAGAATGAAAAATTTGAAAAGGGCTGGAGATGTAGCTTCCTAGAAAGGCCTTGGGTTCATTCCCTAGAACCACCACAACAACACAAAACAAAAAAACGCATGTGGGCAAGGCAGAGGTCCCCTCAGTGGCCACCATGTGTGGACTGCCTGGCTCTGCCCCTCACTGCTCAGCATCTTCCCAAGGCTTTTCAGTCTTATCCCTGGGGACTATGCCACATTCAGGTGTGTCTCTGGAAAATCATTAAATTCTCTAGACCTCAGCCCTTTCCTCCATAAATGAGGGGAGGAGGTGAGATCTGTAAGTTTTATCCTGTGAAAAAACTCATTTTGTGGTAGCTTTTCTGGCAGCTGCCCCACTCCAATAGTATGTTGTCTTTCTTGTCATACCTCCACTATGTTCTGTTCATTTGTGTGTGTGTGTGTGCATACATGTGCGTGCATGTGTGCCTGTGTGTGTCTTTTTGAGAGAGAATCTTACTCTGCAGTCCATTCTGGTGACGAGCATGGATCCTTCGAGTGCTGGTATTATGGCCTATAATTCGACCTCTCTTCCACCTTTTTCCTGAGGATTCATCAGTGTTTGTTCATTGCCTGCTGGGGCTTGGCCCTGGGTAGATGGGTGGGAATGCAGAGAGGAGAATATTTTTCTTGCCTTTATGGAATCTGTGGTTTAACTCCAGAGATCACTCACGGTGGTGTTGAGTGTGCTCCTTATTGTTGCTTACTTTTTCCCATGTCATCGCTTTGTCAGCCGACTTCTGTGCTGAACCCTGTGCCAGTGAGCAAATCACTGGTAATTTGTTAGTTTGTACTGGAAGCTTTTTTCCTCTGTCCCTGGAAGCTCCCGTGGGGCATCTTTCGTGTGCAGAGCACTATCTTAAGTTGTGAGATGGTAACAAAGGTGAAGAAACTGTAACGGTGCTTACAAATCAGTAGGCCACGTGGAGCTGCTACACAGAAAAACCAGAATCCAAATCATAAAGAGGGAGAGAGAGACTGTGATAATTTCTAGTTCATAGGATCAGGGAGCACCTAGTAAATCTGAGCCTTGGGGAGATCTTCAAACACATAGGATTTTGGCAGGTGGAGTTGTGTTGAGTGAAAGCCTCCTCACTCAGGTGTGAGGAGAAGAAAAGCTAAAATGGTAACTATCAGTTATGAAGATTCTTCTTTTTTTTTTTTTTTTTTTTGGCGGAACTGAGGATTGAACTCAGGCCCTTGCGCTTGCCAGGGAAGCGCTTATTCCACTGAGCCATCTCCCCGGCCCATTTATGAAGATTCTTGAGTGGTATACTGAAGGCATTTCATTTTTTTGATTAAGGGGCTTTGTTCATTTCTTACAGAGGGCTTTCTGTCTTCCTGCCTCAGCCTCCCAGAGTGCTGGGATAACAGGTTTGTGCCACCGTGACAGTGGGCATGCGTGTATGTACATGTGTGCAAATGTGTGTGGTGTTGGGTATCAAGCCAGGCCTTTGTGTCTGCCAGGCAGGCAGTGCACCGCGGAACTGTCATCCCAGCCCCTGGCTGCTAAGAGATATTTCAGAGCACTCGGTGTGGTAGGTCATGAGGAAGGGAAACTAGGCAGAGGGAGCCTGTCTTTCATGTTTTGCTGCTGATTACAGAAAGAGGGTTGGAAATATTTGAAAAATAAATTTGAAGAATATATTTTTGCAGGAAATGATTGAGCAGGTCACATAATTCAATGTTAAGGGAAAACTGAAGGAGGTTTTTAAATTACTGAGAGTTTTTGCACTTGAGTATTGGACGATGTTATGCCAGTAACATAAACAGGGAATTGAGGAAGAGCGGGAATCTCTTCCGTGTTAGAAAGATGATAATTTTGAGCCAAGTGTAGGATATAGGCCTGTAATCCCAGTTACTTTGAAGACTGAGGCAGGAGGACCACAAGTTCAGCCTGGGCAATTCAGCAGGACCTTGGCTCTAGAAGAAAGAAATGATTCTGGTGTTAAATCTGTTTTACAAAGATGCTGGTGTGGAGTTTGGCACAGAGATTGGATTGGGAGATTAGGTACTTTAGAGGTTCTTTCCCTAGCGGTTACAGTTTAACCTTAACCCCTAGGATAGTATTAGATAGACAGGAAGTATAGATAAGAGAGAGAAGCATTCCTAAGACAGATTCTATGGGATGGTAGGGCCCTGAGGAGGCAGCACTGGCCAGACCAGGAGAGTATGGCTGAACTGAAATGGAGAGAGTAGTCCACAGTGCTGTGTGGAGAAAGGCCCGAGGAAGACCAGGTGAGAAAGCATTGATTTGGCAGGCTGGCTGGGCTGTGTGGAAATGGATGTGCTAGGTCACTTCCTGTTTGACCCTGGTCAAGCACTTGTTATTGGACTCTTCATGCCCTTTGTATTTTACTTCTTTGTGTATATTCTCACCACTTTGCAACTCTGCTTTCCCATTCAGTTTCTGTGCGTTTCTCTCCTTCTGTTCCCACCTGCTCTGATCTCTTTCCAGCTGAATGTTATTGTTGGCTGATGTGGGCAGGGAAGGGTGCTGGTGCTGCTGCTCAGACAGGTTGATCTCCTGGGCTGCATTATTAGGGTGTGACTTGTGGCTGCCACCCAGGGCTGGCCACTGTGACAGTGAGGCCTGCTGAGCTTTTGCTGTGACAGTGGATTGTGACTAAAAGCTTCTGCCAACGCGGCTTGTGGACGCCCAGGTAGATTTATGACACTGTCGCTTAAAAGACCGAGGGACCTTTTAAAAGAACTTTATGCTAAAGTCTATAGTTGAGTGAGTCAGGGTGATATGGGATGTTTCTTCGAAGCTGCTGTACCTAATAATGTATGCGTGCATGCATGTTTCTTTTGTCCTTGGTACTGGAGATGGAACCCAGGGCCTTTGTACTGAGTGCAGCCTCAGCCCTGCTTGTTTTTGTTATTTTGAGACAGGGTCTTGCTAAATTGCTGTATTGCCCAGGCAACTTGACCTTGTGATCCTCCTGCTTCCACTGGGGTCATAGTCATGCACACTCTCACTTGGCTTTTGGTTTGTTGTTTTCCTGTGGGGTCTTGCTGCATTGCCCCAACTGGTCTTTACCTTGTGAACGCAAGGGATCTTCATTGTTCACTGCTACAGCAGCTGACTGCCAGCGCCCATGCACCCAGCTCTTTCCTTTCTTTTGGGTAACCCTGACCCGACCTGGAGAGGAACACACGGTGTGAAGTAGGATGGCGCTCAAATGGTTCTGTGATGCAAGGCTTTGCAAACACTATATACTCAGTGTTTTATTTTGAAGTCTTTTTCTCATGTTTTAAAATGCAATGAATGATTACATGTTTAAAAGTATTCTTCTTTAGAAAATGTAGCCTTCCAACTCCATTATACAACGGAAGTAATAAATACCTTCCTGTTGTAAAAGCTTCAAATAATCTAAAGGCATATGATATGAGCCAGAAGTTTGTTCTCTCTCTCCCCCTCTCCCTCTCCCTCTCTCTTTCTTCTCTCTCTCTCTCTCTCTCTCTTCTCTCTTCTCTCTTCTCTCTTCTCTCTCTCCATGTGTAAGTTTTGATGTTTGTGTTTGTTCTTTTAAATCTTTTTCTCCACATGTACCTTTCTTTTTGTTTTTGGCTGTCCCATGGACTGAACCCAGGGAGTGCTAAACTATATCTGGGTACCCTTGTTGCTTTATTGTCCTGGGGGTGGCCTCAGGGTGCTAGCATTGAGCTGTGCATCTAGCCCATTGCTAAATTTTGAGATAGTTTTGCCAGGATGCCCCAGTGGGACTTGAACTTGGAAGTCTTCTGCCTCAGCCTCCCAAAAAGTTGAGATTATGGGTGTGTGCCACTGCATCTGACTCCCAGCCCCTTTTATATTTTATTTTGAGACAGAGTCTCACCAAGTCACCCAGGGTGACCTAAAACTTGGGGTTCTTTGGCCTCAGTCTCTGGGCCACTATACCCAGCTGTAGTTTACTTTGAAAAGCTTAAGTGTCGAACACGTCTTTTTGTGTAGCTTGCTCTCTGTGCTAACAATATTGCTTGAAGCTCTTCTGTTATGTAACATTCAGTGTGTGTGTACCTGTACATATGCATGTGCCTGTGTTCCTTTTGAGGAGGATAGACCAGAACCTTGGGGACGGAAGAGGAGAGTCACTGGTGTGCTAATCCCAGAGCCTGCGTCCTACAGCATTATGGGAAGGGAGCCTTTCCTCCAAGGAGTGTGTGTGGGAGATGCTGATAAGGAAACAGATGTGTCCCTAACTAGCTGGAGCAGGTGCACAGAGTGCGCGGTAGAGGCAGACAGAGGCAGACCCTGTCTGGTCTCAGCACAGAACTGAGAGGGAGCCCAAGGTGGTGGCTAGAAATTTCAGCTGCCACCTGTCTTACTGAGGCATTAATTGACAGCTTAGGGTTAAGCAGGAGTCAGAGCAAAATGAAATGAGGCTCAACTGCTATTTTTTTTTTAAGCTCCGAGTGGCTAATTTGCCCCCTATTTTTTGGGGTCATTCATATGAGAATGATAACAAGAGTTAAAATTTTTGTCATAACAAAATCACTACATTTTTTAATATTCTAGAAAACAGGAAAGTATGTGGTATGTTTTAAAGTCATGAGAAGCCAGGTTTGTGGTATCTCAGTCACCTAGTGAGACATTATCTTAAAAAGAAGAAAGGCCAGGGTTATAGATGAGTGTTAAGCTTTTTGGTTTTTCTTTTTGAGACAATCTCACTGTGTAGCCTGGCTGTCAACTGGTGGCAAGCCTCCTGCCACAGCCTTCAAAGTGCTGGGATTATAGGCACAAGCCATTCTGTTTTGAAAAGGTTTATTTTTTTACTGGAGTAACTTATCTCTTATACATGTGGGCACATTTTCACTCCTACTTTATCATGAGACTAGTGAATTTTATTATGAGATTAAAACCAGTTGAACTAAATGATTTGTTACTAAGAGCTGGTTTTTCAAAAGGCTGGTTAGGAGGACCAAGCGGTATCTGATGGTAAGATCCCTTTGTGCAGTATTATTCACGTACCTTGCTTGCGTGTGGTGCACAATAGAAGTATATTTGTCAAATATAGTACATACCACATTGAGCTATGTGTGGCATATACTACAATCATAAATTCACCATATACTTGACAGTTTGATTTGTAGCTTGCTTAAAGTTATTATTTTCTTCAGGCACTCTTGTGATAATGACTTAGCCGTCAATCCCTTTTCCTTTGTCGATTCACTTTTTGTTTTTTGTAACTATTGGGGATCTAGTTCAGGGCCTTGGGTGTGCTCACCATGTGCTCTACTGTGGAGGGACACCCTGTCCCTTTTTATTTTGAGAAACAATCACTAAATGACCCAGGTTGGTCTTCAACTTGCAGTGATCCTCCAGCTTCAGCCCCCTGAGTGCTGGGATTACAGGGATGTGCCATCGTGCCTGGCTGACTTCTTTGTAGCATTCCGTTGTTTGGCTATACTACAGTTTATCTGTTCATCTCTGACAGTTCATCTTGGTTGCTTCCGCACTGGGGCAATTATGAATAAACCTGTTGTAAACGTGTGTGTGCATGGATTTTTGTGGACGTTTTCAGCTCTTTTGGATGAGTTCCAGGCAGTGTGATTACTGGATCATGCAGGTTATATTTGGGTTTGCAAGAAGCCACCCAGCTGTCTCCAGAGTAGCATTTTGCTTTCTCACCAGCAAAGAATGAGAATTTCTTGGTTCTCCATACTTGCCAAACATTGATGTTGTCCGTGATTATTGCTCTTATTGTGCATTGCGGTAGGTGTGTGGTGTGTCTGCTTTAGTGGCATGCCTGGTGGTGTGTGCTGTACAGCGTCTCATGCATGTAGTTGCTGAAGTCTCTTCTGTGGTGAGCTCTGTGGCTCATGTGCCCTCCTCCCCAGTTCTCTCCCTTTTCCCTTCCTCCCCCACTGCCTGGCTCATTCTTAAATTTGGACTGTTTTCTTGTGAATTTTAGGAGCTCTTTTGGGTAATATGCTTTATCACATTCACCTTGTGCAGCTGTTTTCTCCTTTCTGTGGCTTGTCTTTTTATTCTCTTGACTGTTTTCATTTTTTTTTTTTTTTTTTTTTTTTTTTTTTTTCCCGGAACCAGGGGTTGAACTCAGACCCTTGCGCTTTGCTAGGGAAGCACTTATTCCACTGAGCCATCTCCCCGGCCCCTGTTTTCAAATTTTTAATCAAATCCAACTTACAGTTATTCTTTCATGGCTCATGCCTTTGGTGCTGGATCTAGAGTATCTAGACCTAGAAAGAGCACCCATCACCAATCCAGCTGTTAGGATTTGTGTCTGGATGTCCCCCCAATGCCTCATGTGGTCACAGGTGGGCCTTTTTCAGAGTGGCTGGATCTAGAGTGTGTGGTGCTACTGTGTGAATACTAAGCCTGTCCACTGATTGGGTTGGCACTGCCCTCAGCCTGGGACCTGAAGGTACAAAAGGGATGGAAAGAAGCTGTCAGGTCTTGTTGGTTTGACTCCCTCTGCTCACCACGGGTTCTTTCTCTTCTGTGATGCCGCTCTGCGGAGCCCACGCTGCCTTGGAGCCAGCTGGTCATTCACTGGACCCTCCACAGACTGAGCTAAATGAACCTTTCCCCCTTACCATTGGGTGTTGGCTAACATCATCTAGATTATCTTTTGTGTGATCTTTTAGGAGCTTTTGTAGTTCTGCATGTTGATTTAGGTGTGTTGCTTACTTGGAGTTACTTTTTTTGGAGTTGTATAAGGCTGTGTTTGGATTTGTGTTTTTGCATGTGGGTGTCCAGTTGTTCTAGTGCTGTTAATGGAAAAGATTGTTTTCTTCATTTTATGATTTTTGCTTGTAGTCGAAGATAGGTTTTTTTTTTTCTATGTTTTGTTTTTTGGCACAGGGTCTTGTTATGTAGCCTAGCAGGCCTTGAGCTTGCAGCTGAGTGTGGGGTCCTGGGTGAGTGCCACTGCACCTAGCAGATGGGTCTGTTTCTGAAAACTCTCTCCTAGTGATTTGCCCATCTATTCTTTGTCGTGCAGCCTGGATTTCTTTAAAATTTATTTTTTCTTTATTATTTATTGATATAGGATCTCACTACACAGTTCAGATTCCTAGTGACCCTTTTGTCTCAGCTTCCCCAGTCCCAGGACTATAGGTGTGTGCCACCATGCTTGGTTTTGGGGCCAGCATGGTGCACCTGGAGTTCCGGGGCTGGCACTGCACGGCATGGCATAGCAGGCAGTACAAGGGATTGAACCTGGGTGAGACCATGGAGCTATCTCCCCAGCTGTCTTTTTACATTTCTTTCTTTTTTTCTTTTTCTTTTTCTTTTCTTTTCTTTTGTCTTTTTACATTTCTAAAAAAGCTTGTAGGGGGAGATGGCTCAGTAGAATAAGTGCTTGTCTGGCAAGCGCAAGGGCCTGAATTCAATCCCTGGTTCTGTTTAAAAAAAAAAAAGAAAAAGTACAAAGAGCTCAGATATTAGAACATGTATAAAATGTTGAGGTTTACTATGCTAAAAACTTGCAGTCCTTACGTTAACCAAGTTTAACTTTTCACATAGTGTCTTGTTCTTTTGGAAGAATAATTCTTGCTTTTATTCTGAGAATTATGATGAAATCAGTTAGACATTTTTTCCTGGGCCTTAGGTTAGCCCATGAAAACTACTTAAACTATTGGTTATAGAAAGGAATAGATGCTGGTGGGGAATCACAGTGTTTTAGTAACACTGGAAAACAAACAATGAAAACAGGTGCTATTTTCCACTGTAGCTCCTTCCTATGAAGCTCTCTAGACTCGGCTTTGATAAATGTATGGACCACGGAGGCAGCGGTGACCTGGGGCTCCCTGTGTGAGTGCCACGTGAACACCACCTGACACCGACGCTGGAGGTGGGGCGGGCAGCCAGTTTTCACGGGAGCTGAGCTTAAATGCACTCCTGCCTTCTGAGCACGGTGGCTTTTCACTTTATTGTAGCTGTGGCATGTTTTATTATTACAGGAACTTTCATGGAGGCATTTAAAAAGAAGTTTCAGAAAGGATTGCTCTGGCAAGAGGCAGGCTTCTGGGAAGGGTGAAGGCAGGCAAGCCCTGAGGTGGGGACAAGCCAGGTTATGTGCTGACACAGAACTGTGCATGTGCTGGGTGTATGCATACATACTGAACAATCTCTGCTGTGTTAAAGGGTATTCTGTCATTTTTGTGTGCTTCCATTCTCCTTTGTAATCAATAATAACCTTCTTGAAGACAACAGGAGGGTTTGTGCTGCTGAGATTTGGTGTAGTGTATGTGGGGAGACTGTAGTTGTATTGTCAGGAACTCTCTTACTTGGCTATGCCATTGCTTTGGTTTCAGTGGGTGCTTTTCATATGATGACACACTGTACCTTTGGTTTTTTCCCCTGAATTATGTAATGTCATACGACAATGCATATCTAAAGACTTTTCCTTGGATTTGAAACTAATATGTGTCCAGTGCAAAAGTCCGAAAATTTTCTATAAATTAAAATTAATGACTTTATACACTGGACTTTGAAATCTTATGGTAAAAAGGTTTACTATCTCACTAATCTTTAAATATCAGTTCCATGTTAAAATGATGTTATTTTGGATATACTGTGTTAACGTTAATTAAAAATTAACCCGTTTCTTTTTATATCCTTAATGTGGCTACTAGAAAATGTAAATTTACATATGGCATTTTCTTTTGTGGGACAGTGCTGGTCTAGAGTAGTCTCTTTGGTAGGTGATTAGGACCTGGATTAAGGTCATATTTATAGAAAAGAAAGTAAGGAGTGATATTTAAGAGATTATGCATACGTACTGAACAATCTCTGCTGTGTTAAAGGATATTCTATAATTTTTGTGTGCTTCCATTTTCTTTTGTAATCAATAATAAACTTCTTGAAGACAAAGACTATGTCACTGATGTTAATGATGTTCTGCTTTGTATCTTGTCCTTTGGTTGATTTATAGGAAGTTGATTGAACAAACAAGAATTAATAGAAATAAAATATATATAATATCTTTATATATTACATATATAAGTATATAATATATTTATATATTACACATATAAATATATATAATATATTTATATATTGCATATATAAATATATGGTTCTTATTTGTCCTTTGTCACTTATTCCCTGTAGCAATACTAGGAGGAAGGTTATCAGCCATCATTTTACAAGATCAAGGAACTGGTACTGTGTATTTTTCCAGTGTTCATTACTGATGCAGATAATGCCCCATTTCTGAGCCAGTACTTTTGTACTGTAGTTTTTGGTTTAACTGGAGGTAGAAAGTTACTTTATGTGATTAGAACTTAGTCTGCTATTTTAGTTACATGAAACATATGAAAGTAGTCATTAAGATAAACTCTCTAGTGATAAATTTTGGCAATATTTCTTCCATAATCATAACAATGGCAATTCAGAAATATTCCTCAAACTTGAGAGGAAGAAGAAAAGGCATATTTTCTCATTTTGATTCCCTTGTGCATTGCAGTTTCAGAAATTGAACTATAGTTTATGGGGAAAAGTTAAGATCTCAAAAGTTTTAAATATTTTCTTTGTGTCATCTTTCAGATAAAATCAAAGACAAAATTAAAGAGAGAGAAAAAAAGAAGCATAAAGTAATGAATGAGATCAAAAAAGAGAATGGAGAAGTAAAGATTTTGCTGAAGAGTAAGTTCATATGCAGTGACTTTTGTTCTGTATTCTACTGTTTAGTATGCATATTAGTTAAATGATTGAAATAAGCAACTTGGGCTGGGGAGATAGCTCAGCGGACTAAGCACCTGCTTAGGCAAGCGCAGGGGTCGAGGTTTGATCTCTGGCACCACATGCTGCGGTGGCTCCGCCTTTGGGCCCGCTGAGCCAGCAACTGAGTCCAGGTGTGTGGCACAAGCCTGTAATCCCAGCACTGGGGAGGCTGAGAAGAGGAGGAGCACTATGAATTCGAGCTGCATAGTGAGACCCTGCACAAAAATAAATACATAAATAACTAAAAAATAAAATAAAATAAGCAACTATTTGGTGCTGGCTTTTGTTGAGGAAAGTGCAAAGCCAGCTCGATGCTGGAGTACTCCACTCAGCATGGAGATGCGTTTTTGGTATGATATATTTATTTGTAATAGTGAATCATTACAAAGTTTAAAGGTTAAACTTTTTTCAACTGTTAGATTCCTTAAATTATTTTAGAATAAGTTATTTTAGCATATAATTCTGTTAGCATTATTAATGCTCACTTATATTTAGATGATCTAAAAGACTAATTTGCAATTTGCAGCATTATAGGGATGGGGAAAGAAGTGGTCTTTTTCCAGGTGTCTCTGGAGGCTCAGGCAAGATCTCCAAGAGTTTGAGGCCAGCCTGACTCTGTCTCAAAAAGCGGGGGGGGGGGGGGCTCTTTAAAATATTTGACTTTAAGCACCATATTGTACCCTCGAATTAAGAGGGAACTTTTTTTTGGTTGTTATATTGCATATTGTTATCTTCAAATTAGTTGTTCAGATTACCAAATATAAGCATGCAAAATTTGTTTAAAAACTAAAAAGAGAAAAAAGTAAGTATTAACTGCTCCTTGCAATAGACCAGCAGAAATCAGCAGTACATTTATCCAAGCTGTGCTGTGCTGTGCGTGTGTGTGTGTGTGTGTGTGTGCGTGTGTGTGTGTGTGTATATATATATATATATATATATATATTTTTTTTTTTTTTTTTTTTGTGGAGCTGGGGATGAACTAAGGCCCTGCACCTACTGAGCCATCTCCCCAGCCCCCTGTATATATATTTTTTGAGGAGCATTTTATTCTGAGGTTGATTCGAAGTGGTTTCCCTGTATGTGTTTTGCATGATTACGAATATCATGTTTTTGTCTGCTGTTTTTCTGTTGTTATAGTTACAAGTCAGTTACTCTTTTTACCTGGGGTGGGATGGAGAGAAGAATTGGGGGAATAGGTAGTTGAGTAATAAATATAAGTCCTATGCATAAGTCAGAACTTTTTCAGAATTTATGTGAGAATAGACCTGGTGGCAGTACCATCAGAACATATTCGTAACCACCCAGGGGATGTAGCCTGTAGCACTGCTTGTGGTAACTTCCGGTATTTAAGCAGAGCCTTAGGCTCTCCATTTTCTTTTTATTGTTGTACTTACAGATATTCTTCGAGGCACTTTGTTTAGCTCTGTGCTGTGTATCAGAGTTTTATTTTCTGGGGGCTAGGGATGCAGCTCAGTGGTAGAGTGCTTGCCAGGTGTGTGAGGTCCTTGATTCAGTCCCCAGTACTGAAAGAGCCTTTTATTTTCTATTATGTTCTTCACTTTGAGGAAGTGTGTCGAAGCTTAAATTGTTGGCTCTTTGGTTAATGCCCTCTATCCTTCTGTTTCTTTTTCCAGTGTGTTTTATCTGTGCTGTTTAATTAGATTATAAGCCTTTGAGGCAGGAATAGAATATAACATTCATAGTGCTAAAAGGCAGCGAAGGGTTAATGTTTAAAGTGTTTACACAGCTTTACCCTGTGGGTTCAGTCCAAATAGTCTTTTTTTTTTTTTTTTTTTTTAAAGCTGGTTTAGTTAAAAGCTATTTTTTACTCTTGAGTTTACAGTGGTTTTCTCTGCTTGAGAAAGGATCTGTGTCCTAGAAATACTTCATAAAAACTTGTTTTTGGTTGAATGGTAGATTCCTTATGTTGGAGAATTGTATGAATCTAGATTACTGTGTATATGTAAATAAAATTAAAAAATCCTAAAGATTGAAATTTTCTTGAATTGTTCAATATTAACTGACTTTCAGGTAATATTTAGGTGTTTTGAACTGAGATAAAGTGAAAGTAGTGATGATAAAGGAAAAAACTTGAGATAAATTTTGAAATTGATTTGTGACTTCTGAGATGACTATGGAAAAATTTAGAGGGAAGTATGTGTACTGTCCAGTGGAAGTGAGTAGAAATTCAGTCTTGCCCAGCAGTGTTGTGTAGCAGATAGGAAGGAAGTGGGTATGAATCTTGTAAACATACTTGAACGGTTAACTTTTGTGATGCAAAAGCAACAGAACCCAAACTTTTTCCACTCCTTAGTTGACAATTCAACTGGAAAAAAAAACCCTTGACTCCTTTCAAAAAGCTGACCATACCCTTGTAAGTGAAGCCTGGTAGGTGGCAGTTATTAGCCGTCATGCCCAGGACCCTGGAGGACCCCTCTGCTGCGCGCCCCCCACCCCAGTGTCATGCTGGTGTCCCATGCGTGTTTGCACCAAGGTTGTTCACACCTGAGAGCTCTAGGACGTTCAGGCCTTGCTCAATGATAGGCCTTGAAAAATAGATGCTGAGTGTGTTCTTCACTGATCTCATTTCTTTCACTGCTTTGTTAAAAGCTGAGTCACCTTTTTGGTGACTAGAGATACACACAGAATTATATATGTATTAAAACTTTTTTAAAAAATGTTTTTGGTACAGTGTCTTGCTGTGCAGCTTGGACTTGTAATCATCCTTCTATTTTCATCCTTCCCAGCGCTGGGATACAGATGTGGGCCACCATGCCTGTCGCGGCTTGCCCAGGGCGGCGCCAGTGCAGTATGTGATGCCAGGGATCAAACCTGGATCCCTGCGTTTGCCAAGCAGGCGCTTAGCTCAGCTATTTTGCCAGAGCTGCTAAAATGTTTTTTAATGCAAAAAGTCTTTTAAATCTTTTAAATGTTATCTTTAGAACAGGTGATTATTTGTATTTAGGAGTAGTTTAAAGGAACAAATGCGTTTGAAAGGTAAGGTTATTTAGTGGTTTTAGTGGTCACAGGTAGGTCATTCAGCACTGCAGAGTGGAATCCAGTAGAGGCTGATTACTTACTGCTTTGTCTTCTAAGTATGATCATGGGATTGTGTGTATTCTTTTCTGTGTCAGATATGAAGTTCTAATTTTTCTAGGTAACCTTTATTTTTCACTTTATTAACACAGAAAAGTATCCTAATGGTAGTGGTAGAAATAAGTATTAGCGTGTTTATTTTTAAGGCGATTTTTTTCATAATTGCTCATTAAAAACACGAGCTGTCTGTACCTGTGCCCGTATGGTTCCGGTCCTGGCAGCATTGTTGGCTGGCTGCTCATGTGGCTGCCTTTCTCGCCTTGCCATTCCTCGGCTGTCTCTCTGGCTCTGTGCTTTTCTGTGTGTCTCTGCATGCGTGTGTGTGTGTGTGTGCGTGTGTGTGTGTACATACTTGTGGTCATATGTTACACCTTTAGGCAGATTATTAGCAACTTCATTCTGTTAAAAAATATTTGTCTTTTAATGTGTCTCATTAGCCTGTATTCAAAGAACAACAGATTTTGAGGAATTTGTACTTTAATTTTTAGTATAAGAGAAGAACATTAATATTCAAATAGTCTAAAAATAATTCAAATGGTCTTGTTAAAGTATTTGGCGCTTTTACATAATCATCTCAGCTTTTCACATGTAGTGTCAGGCCCCAGGCGGAGCTGCTGGAGTTCTCTGCTCTGCCTGGTGTGTGCTTGGCACCTGGTCTCCTCCTGCCAAAGGCGGCATGCCCTCCAGCTCTGCCCTGCAGCTCTGTGAGTGCTAGAGGATGGTGGGAGCCATCAGATGGCTGTGCTTGGGGCTATGACTTGCTGTAGTGAAAGGGTACAAGTCAAGTCAGAGCACTCGTGCGCCAGCAGCGTGGGAGGAGACGTGGACGCCTGGTGCCCGCCCCTTCTCGGCACGCTGCTGACCGTTCCCTGCGCCTGAGCTGAGATCCCTGGGCTGCCTACCTGAGGCCTGGCGCCCAGGGTTTTCTCTGCGCCAGCATGAGCAACGTGGAGGCTCAGGGAGGCCCGGGGTGGGGGTGGGGTCAAGAGTGCGCCCAAGGTTGGGGAAGCAGCGGCCTCTTCAGGCTGGCCGGGCCTCCGCCCACCAGTGTGATCCCAGTGCAGTTGTGGTGAGGATTGTGTGCTCCTTGTGGTGGGCTCGCCCCTGGCTTCTGGTTACTTTGCATTGTGGAGTTCCTGACTGTTACATAAAAATGTAAACGTTTTGGTTCATACTCCCTCATAGAAAATAAGTGTTGCTATTTCATTTCAAAGTAATTATGTGGTCTGGAGCTGGATATTTTCTAATTTTTTTTTTTTTTTTTTTTGGCTTACTGGGGGATCGAACTCAGACCCTTGCGCTTGCCAGGGAAGCTCTTATTGTACTGAGCCATCTCCCTGGCCCCTCTAATTTGGTTTTAAAAAATGTTAGGCTTGAATATAGAAGGATATTAAATATTTATTCAAATGTGGTTTTATGTCTTTCAGTAGATTACATAAATTATGGAAATTTATTCATTTTTCATGGTTTAGGAATGCTTTCAGTCATGCCTATGCTCTTTAAACTTTTTACAATTCTATTTTTTGTTCACTGTTATCTTTTTTCTTAATTTATTTGAATTTTGCCTATATATGTATACCTCTGTGATTTATTATTTTGGTTAAGTTCACTCTTTATTTTAAAATTTATTTTGTTAGAATACTAATCTGAACTCAATATTCTGATATAAGTATGAATTTATATTTATATAAACACTTATATACTCTTATGCATATTGTATATAAGTATACTTATGCAAATGTGTTTCTAAAGTACCTGTCAGTTGACTCTTTAAAAAATTAATATTTTGGTTTTTATGAATTTAAAAACCTATGAAATTAATAATATGGACAGATTTTCTTGTTTCTTTTGGGGTTACTAAGGATTGAACCCAAGACCTTCAAACTGAAATACATTAGCAGCTCTGCTCTTTTGTTTTTGTTTTTTAAGACAGGGTCTCACTATGTAGCCCAGACTGGCCTCGAACTCAGCGCAATCTTCTTGCCTTAGCCTCCTGATACCAGCCCTTTTTGATTTTTAAGTTTTGTTTTGTTCTGTTTGTCTTTTTAGACTGGGTCTCTTATGTAATGTGTGCTGGCCCTGAGCTCAATGTGTAGCTCAGGCTGGGCTCAAATTTGCAGTGATCCTCCTGTCTCAGATTCCTGAGTGCTGAAATTACAGGTGTGTGCTGGCATACCTGGCTTATTTTTAATTTTAATACAAGATCTCACCAAATCACTGAATTGCTCAGGCTGGGCTACAACTTGAGATCTTCCTGCCTCAGCTTCCCAAGAGTGCTAGGATTATAGGCATGCACTATCAATTATGGCTGGATTTCTGTTTTTGCCTTTCTTGATACTGATTTGGTTCTTCATTGTATACCTATAGATTCATCTCTTCTATGAGGTTTTTAAATTTTTATTGTTTATGTATTTTAATACAGGGTCTATAGGGTTTCACTACATAGAATGGACTCATAGTGATTCTCCTGTTTCCAGCCTCCCAAGCACTGGGATTACGGGCATGCACCACCATGCCCAGTCTTAGTCACCATCTCTGGGTGCCCTGGGGGCAGGGCCGGCACAGGATCCATTTTAGTCTGCTGAGCTATCTGGCTGGCCCTTTAAGAGTTTTTTTAAGAGTGACAGTTTGCAACATTAAACTTCCCTGCTATGGTCTTGTTACGTACACACTCATTCTTCTCATTATGTTTATAAATTCTGAGCATCTGCTCTGTGCTAGAGTGGTACCCTGCACTACAGAGTGTGACTTGGCCCTAAACTTCTGCGTGCGTGCGTGTGTGTGTGTGTGTGTGTGTGTAGAGAATGAGAGGAATTGACTAGACAGTTTAGTTATTAATAATGTTTAAAATAAGGCCCAAATAGAAAACTAATTTTGAATAAGTTTTTAGACATATCAGAGGTAAGCATACTACGAAAGTATAGCTTTTTAAAAAACTAATGGAAAAATGTGACATTTAAAAACAATTTTTCCCAACAGGTGGGAAGGAGAAACCAAAATCAAATGTAGAAGACTTACAAAGTAAAAAGGTAAAGAAGAAAAAGAAAAAGAAACACAAAGAGAGTGAGAAGCGGAAGCGTCCAAAAATGTATAGCAAATCTATTCAGACCATTTGCTCAGGACTGCTGTCAGATGTTGAAGATGAAGCAGCCAAAGGCGTCCTCAGTGACAACATAAAAGATTATGTTGCAAAGAGCGCGGATCCCAGGAACTCTGATTGCAGAATTCCGGAGAACAGTGACTTTCCCTTTGTCTCGTTGAAGGAGCCCCGGGTTGAGAAGACACTCCGGAGGCTGGACACGCTGGAGTTCAAGCAGCTTATTCACATCGAGCACCAGCCCAATGGCGGCGCCTCTGTGCTGCACGCCTACAGCAGCGAGCTCTCATGCCTGTCTCCTGTGGAGATGGAGAGGTTCGCCGAGGAGTTCGTGGGTCTGGTGTTCAGCGAAAATGAGAACTCGGCAGCCTTTTATGTGATGGGGATCGTTCACGGGGCGGCTGCCTACTTGCCTGACTTTTTAGACTACTTTTCTTTTAACTTTCCCAATTCCCCAGTGAAAATGGAGATCCTGGGAAAGAAGGATATAGAAACTACAACTATGTCCAGTTTTCATGCTCAGGTAAGAAGTTTTTAGTTTTGATTTTTAAAGTTTTAGTGTTTTTTTTTTTTTTTTTTTTTTTATTTAGTACAGAGTCTACAGGTTCTCACTATGTAGGTCCGACTCATAGAGATTCTCCTGTTTTCAGCCTCCCAAGCGCTGGGATTATGGGCGTACACCACCAGTCCCAGTCTCAGTCACCCTCTTGGCGCACCGGGGATAGAACCCCGGCCTCTGTGCTCTGCCTAAGCAGGTATTTTAGTCTGCTGAGCTATCGGGCCAGCCCTTTCATTCTATTTTTATTTTTTAAATTTTTTTAAATTTATTTTATTTATTTTACATTTTATTGTGTGTGTGTGTGTGTGTGTGTGTGTGTGTGGCCAGCTCAGCCCACCAGGGGGCAGGGCTGGCTGGCATGTGGTACTGGAGGATTGAACCACGGTCCCTGTGCTTTGCCAAGCTTGTTCCAAGTAGGTGCTTTAGACCACTGAGCCATCTCTCCAGCCCCATTCATTCTATTTTTAATGGTGTGTTTCAGACAAGTTTGTACTTAGCTTTTTCTTCCCCTAAAGATAATTGAAATAAAATTCTGTTGGGGTTTTTTAAATTAGAGTTACCATGGGCCTAATGAAATGAATTTAAGATTTAAGCATGTACTTTAAAGTTATTTTTTTGATTTTTTTGAGATTGGGTTTCACTAGGTACCCATGCTGGCCTTGAACTCTGAATGATCCTCCTGCCTCAGCCTCCTGAGTGCTGGGACTACAGGCATGTGTCACCATACATGGCTTCTATTCTTGCCGTAGTTTCCTTACTAAAATTGTCTCTAACGTGCCTTCAAAAGTGGTTGGCAGTAGGCCTGTTGCTGAGTCTGCAGAGTAAATGTGGGCTGTTAAATATGTATGAAGAAATCACAATTACACCAATTGTGTGAGACAGTCAGCACACGTAATCAGGGCTGACTTTCCCTTTCCTAGCCTGCTTATGGGGTAGCGCGCATGTTACCAGGACGCAGAGCAGAAATGAGCTCACCGGTTCTCGGAAGGGAGGAGTGTGAGCCTCTGCAGACAGTGCTGGACCTACTCCCCATGGTTTGGGCTGTGAGGCTGGCTGGTGGGCCAGTTCTTGTCCTTTGCCATGTTGCAGGTTTTGGCTTTCTAGGAGCAGTAATACTTGATGATGTTCTGCTCCTTTGCTTGAGAAGCTGTCCAGACAAAGTCTCTGCCTGAATGTGGACCAGCCCTGGCCCCCACGCATGCTGGGGTGGAGCCTAGAAAATGTGCAGCGTTTATAGTTTCAGTGTAGGGGTCCCTGTCCAGGGGATCCATTTGAGAACTGGGTGTTAAATATTTCTTCAGCACACAAAGTTCCCAGTGCAGTGAGCCCCAGGATGATCAGTAGTCGTTCTGAGATGTAGCTGAGTTTAGGGCACAGTGGGGACTCCTATCTTGTCACAATTGAGTGCCTATGTGCTGCTGTCATCATTTATTTAATCTTTGTTATAGCTGAATTTTAGCAGTAAGGAAACAGGTACAGTGTGTGACAAGTGACTTTCTGATGTAGAAGGACTTTGAGCTGTTTCTTCTGTGAGAAAAGCAGCTTGAGCAAAGTGAGAGAAGCGGCAGCTTCTAAAGTTGCTTTCTAAAGTTGCTCTACAGCTCTTGTCATTTATTGTGTGTCTGCCAGGCCAAACTTGATGCTGGGGCTTTTGTCTCTGAGTCCCAGTTGTTTCCTCAGTGTCACAGGCTTCTTGGGTAAAGGATACCACCCACCCACCTACTTACCACCTGTGTCCCAGGGCAAGCTCATAAGCAGCAGCAGCCTGAGCCGCCAGCCATGGCTCTGGCCCCTTCTCTGTGGGGTCTGCTGGCCTGGTGAGCTGAGCATGTTAGCTGTCAGGGTGACTTTTGCTTTTTAGCTCAGACATAATCCTGAGTAGGAACCTCCGTTTTCTAAGCCAGCCTGCCTTTTCTAGAAGATCTTTTAGGTATCCTCCATCCTCTGGTGTGGGAAAGAGTATCTAGTGAGCTGCTCATTTGATACTTAGTATTTTCTCCCCTGGTACTCTGGCTTTTCTTGTTTCTTCCTCTTCTGTCTTTCTGAGAGCTCGTAAGACTGAGGCGGTTGATGTTTTCAGAAGTGGGAGTGGGCTGTGCTTGTCCTTATGCACTGGCTGTGGGAAGTGAGCGGGATCCGCAAGGTAGGAGAATAAAAGCGAGTATACTTTTCATTTGCAGCTTATTGCTATTTCTAGTCCCTTGAATCTTCCTAGTAAATGCTGTCTCTCTTAACCTAATTTGTGTGGTACCTCTAGGAATTTGATTTTTATTTACTCTCTCCTGTATTGAAGTGTTAATAGATGTGGAGAAGGGCATGTATTAAAAGATCCATAGTTTAAGGGGTCTTCAGAAGTGAACATTCCCACCATTCTCAAGTGCTGTGCTTTACAGAAGCGCCCAAGCCTCTGTTAGCGCCACTCTGCAGTGCACCAGCTCCAGCACGCAGACACCTGGGTAGTTCCTGTGCTGATTCTGAACGCTGCTGATGAAATTTTGCCTCATAAATTGTTGCTTAATGGAATCAAATAATAATGGAATTGGTATGTCTGATGTCTTTCAAAATTATGTTTGTGAGATTCATCTGTATTCTGGGGAAAAATGTTCATTTTGTTACTACTGTGTAGTAGTACATTATGTGAGTATTCCACAATTTAATTACCTTGCTTACTGTAAAAGGACATTTAAGTTGTTTCTTCTCTGGAGCTACTGTAATAGGTGTGATCTGAGTATTTTTGTCCTTGTGTTATGGTGTATACATGTGTTTTTGATGGTAAGCTTATACCTCAGCTAAAGACAAAAAGGTATGCAGGTAGTCAGCTTTGATAAATTTACTGCCACGGTCACCAAATTATTATGCCAGTTTGCATTCCTAGCAGCATTGTACCACACCTTTGGCCACATGTAGTGTTTATCTTTGTCACTGTAGCCATGCTGGTGATGGCATGAACATGTCTACCAGTCATGTAAATTTCTTCTGATGACTAAGGATGCCAAGCACCTTCTCTTATAGTCATTGTCCATTTGAATATTATCGTTTCTAGATTGCCTGGTCTATTCTTCTGCCTATTTTTAAAGTTTGCCTTTTCTTTCTTTATTTTTATTTTTTTATTTTTTTTGCTAAGTGATAACTTCTTTATGTGTTATAAATATCTTTTGTCAGCTAAATGTGTTGCAGTTAAGTCCTCTAAAAAAGTCTTGTCTTACTGTTAATAGTGGCTTTTACTAATAGATTACATTTATATATATTAACTTTTTTTTTTTTTTGTGGTACCGGGGATTGAACTCAGGACCCTGTGCTTGCCAGGCAAGCATTTATTCTACTGAGCTATCTCCCTGGCCCTACATTTATATATAATCATTAATTTCTTCTCATTTATGGTTAATATATATTGTGCTCTGTTTTTAGCAATCTTGGTCTACCCCCAATTATTGATATATTCTTTGAAGTTTTTTTTTTATAGAAATTTCATATTTAAATCTATAGTTCATTTAGAACTAATTTCTCTTTATAGCATAAGGTAAAGATCAAGGTTCATTTTTTATATTAAGTATCCAGGGACCGGTGTGATAGCTCAGAGGATAAAGTGCCTGCTTTGGCAAGTGCAGGGACTAGGGTTTGATCCCAGGTCCCACATGCTGCACCGGCCTTGCCCCCGATGCTTGCTGAGCAGGCGTCACAATCTGGGCATGGTGGCATATGTCTGTAATCCCAGCGCTGTGGAAATTGAAAACGGGAGGATCACCATGAGTCCAATCTGTGTAGTGAGACCCTGTACCAAATACACAAATGAAAAAAAAATTGTAAGTATCCAGAGGTCCTGGAAACATTTACGGAGACAGCCACCCAATGCCCTTTCATTGCATTTTTGCTTTAATTCAAAACAGTTGATCATGTATGTGTGGTTCTGTCTCTTAAGTTTTCTGATTCCACTGTTCTCTTTATCTTGTTATCACTTCATAATAAATCTTCGTATCTGAATAAGTTTGTGTTCTTATTCTTCAAGATTTCCTCAGCTCTCTACATTTATTTTTATTTTTATTTTTTATTTTTTTTAATCAATTAGTTTTTTTTTTTTTTTTTTTAAATTTTATGTGTGTGTGGCCAGCTCAGCCCACCAGGGGGCGGGGCTGGCTGGCATGTGGTGCTGGGGGATTGAACCGTGGTCCCTGTGCTTTGCTAAGCTTATTCTAAGTAGGTGCTTTAGACCACTGAGCCATCTCACCAGCCCCAGCTCTCTACATTTAGGTAATTGAGAATTAGCTTTTCAAACTCTACAGAAAAAAAAATCTCCTGGAATATCATTTGTTATTTCATTGAATCTATAGATAAATTTTGGTAGTATTGATGTCTTTATCATATTGAATCTTGTCTGTAGTTGTGGTATTTGCCTTCACTTGTCTGTTTTATATTTTAGCACTAATATTTTCTGGTTTTAAGCCTCGAGACCTTTCACGTGTTTTGTTAAGTTTATTCCCTTTTTTTTTTTTGTGGTACCAGGCATTGAACTCAGGCTGCTGCCCTTCCCTGGCAGATGCTTATACTACTGAACTATATCCCAGGCCCTTTTCCTCTATATTTAAAGACTTCATTTTGTTAATCATCCTTTTTGAGAATTGGCCAACTCTTAAAACTTCTTAGACTATTAACATTTATTTGAGAAAGTAAAATGTATTTTATACCTCATTTTTCTTCCAGTACTCTTATTTATGTTATCTATGGTATTATCCCACATGTACTAATTATTTTGCAATATTAGTGATTAGGTTATGTGAAATTTAGTAAAGACTAGTTTTATTTATGACTGCCTGTTTCTATAATCATATAGTGAAAGTACATTATTTTCCTGGCATCAAATGAATCACATTGCAGACTGATAGGTTAATTTGTGTTCTCCAGAATGGGTTGAGATGGTAACGTTCACTGAGCTAATGGGAGTTGGTATCCTGGGTGAAGAAAGGACG